ATTAAAGCTTATAGATCAGAGAATAATTGCAAGGCTTATTTTCTTTAGGAATTAATGTTTCACTTAACCATCTTTTAGTGACTTGAAATTCAAACACCTTCCCTGATCTTGCTATTAACCTCTTAACTATTTTCTGGATAAGATATAAATGGATACATTTTGAAACTTTTCCTTGCTTGTGGAAGTATTTATTAGTTCCTGTCCCTTCAGATAGAGACCCCCAGAGTAAATGGCATCTGCTGACATATTTTCTAGCTTTATGGGCTAGAACAGGCTTCGCTGCCTGCCTCCTGAGACTCTCTCATTACCTAAGTCAGGTTACCTTGAATGTTCTACTTTCTTAAGAGTCTACATTACCTAATCTGAGCCTATTTGTCAATTTGTCCTTTGATGTCATGTTAACGACAGAATAAAATATTATAAGAAAGAGTCCTTTAAAAGTTCAAGGTGGTTGTAACAAATGTGAGTAGATGTTACCTGAGAAAGACTTTTGTAACATTTGAATCAAGAATCACTACACTGTTTATCTTTGTTTGAAATGAAAACTATTCTCTTGGCGGCCTTGCTAATGCTCATTTCCTTGGCGGTGCTTTCATATTTCACCGTCTGGATTTGATTTTCTTAACAAACACTACAATCATCTTTTGAGTCCTGTACCATAATTGCACAATCAGAGTTCTATTGGTGGGTAGGGGATGGCCCTCGGCCCCAACCAACTATTTAAATGTTAAATAACAAAATACATCTCAACTTCCTAATAAGCTACTAATAATTGTAGTTTGGAAATGTATCCTTTTAAGCTTGATTCCTAAAACACACACACACACACACACACACACTCGCTTTCTCTCTCCACGCACTGTGCCCTTCTTACACTTGTGAGCAGTTTTTCACAGGGAGGATTATGGTACAGCTGGAGGTCAGAGCTGGGAAGCCTCAATACAGTAAGGCTCAAGTATATTAATAAAAAATGGAGGTTCTGATTCTTGAAGAAATTCAACCTCACCAGCAATCATTAAGACAAAAAGCAGGGTTTTTTTTTTGTTGTTGTTGTTTTTGTTTTTTTTTTATACAGAAGAATTTGACTAGACACTTCAGAGGCTCAGCAAGTCCTCAGCCCTGCATTCACTTACCCACCTGCTGGCACAGCCACACCAAGACTCTGGTATCATTGATCACTCAGGAATGAAACTCAGATCAAGATGAACACAAAGGCAAGTTCCCAAAGAGACACACTATGATTCCAGGCACCTAGCCTTCGCTAGAGAAAACTGAAACATGTGCTTTCAAAACGCTCTCTCCTCAGGGGTTCCTAGTGCCTGACTAAGCAGATACTAATGTAGTAGAAGAGAAAAACATCTTGATGGACTCAGTAAGAGACATGTTTGGGGCTCTGTAACATTTGTGAGACACTGATTTATATTTATTGAAGGGAAAATTGTGCCTGTTAAATAGGGGTGGGAACAATGAACAAGGAAGGAAGGAAGGAAGGAAGGAAGGAAGGAAGGAAGGAAGGAAGGAAGGAAGGGAAAGAAGGAAGGAAGGAAGGAAGGAAGGAAGGAAGGAAGAAAGAAAGAAAGAAAGAAAGAAAGAAAGAAAGAAAGAAAGAAAG